ACAGGCTGCCGGGGGTTCCATCTTCCACTCTAAGGCGTGACGTCGGTACTGTTCGGCATACCCGGCAGAAGTCCACTGACGCCAGCTGCNCCATCTTCCACTCTAAGGCGTGACGTCGGTACTGTTCGGCATACCCGGCAGAAGTCCACGCGCCAGCTGTAGTTCCAGCGTTGATGTGTACCAACGGCGTTCGCCCTCGTCGTACACTTGGCTCAAGGCAACGGTGAAGGCACCTAGGCACCGGCCGCAGTTCCCTGACAGTAGAGCGGTCGGCATGTTTTGCGTAGAGGCGTGCCGTTGCGATCAATACAGACAGGCTGTTGACCTCGGCGCAGGGTATGAACAACATGCGCCATTTGTTGGGATACATGAAACACATCGACGAGGGACGCAGCGAGAGGCGAGAGGCTGGGGGGGGGTGGCATTTCGGCGAAATGTCAAATAATTGTGCCCCCTGCCAGGAGAGCTCCGCTCCCGGGCCTTGTTCACACAGAGCGTGGAGAGTCGCAGAGTGCCAAACTCTGCTTTTCAACAACCGAAGACCACAGGACCGCGCAGCATAAGCAGCAGCAGCAGCAGTGCCCAGGGGGCCTCCGGTTGCAAGGCATCAACGACGACGATCAAAGCCTGATCTCGTCTCTGCTTTGTGCCGGTCTATCGCGCGGTCGGCGGAGGGTTTGTGGATACTAGTCTAGCTAATGGATAAGAACAGAGAATCATCATGAGCGCCAGCGTATTCGGAGGAGGAGGAGGTGAGTTGTTGCGGGGGATGGACGAGTCTCCCCCTGCTTGATTGAGGAAGTGTTCGTGTGTGCATGAGCGGATGAGAATATCCCAAGGCACACGTGTTGCTCCCATAGAAAACACAAAAAATATTTAGGCCGAAAAAGAGCTCGGGTACAACGCGCAAAACAACATGTCTGCGGAGCCCCCTCTGCGTGCATGGGGTCACGCTCGTTGACACTGCTTTTTCAGCACGCCAGTAGTCGACGCTCAGGTGGAGGACGGAGACGAAACTGGGTAACAAGTTCAAGAACGTCACATAGTACATGTGAGAGTCATTTTATATGATGTGGATGTCCTTTGGTGGGAAAAAACCGAGTCGTTGACCTGAAGCCGCCTGGCGGCCTGTTTTACGCCCCGTTGTTCCGCCGCTCTGGGAGGCGAAGATTGATGACGGGTTGACCCCCCGTAAAGTTGACCAAATGGAACAGCGCTCGGAGGCTGGAGTGATTGACAAGCATAGACCTGATACATCGTTTCTAGAATATTGGATCAGCTTTGTGAAAGCCGAAACAGACCTTCGCGCGCCGGTGCCTCAAAACGCGGCGGAACTTCCTCAACCGACGCAGCTCCTACGGCCGGCCGTGAGTCTGTGCTGCCGCTGCGGCCGCAAGAGCTATCGAATGATAAGCTGCAGTCATTAACACTCTTCAGAATACTCCTGCTTTTGTCTAACCACTCTCGGTTCTATGTTTACCGATTCTGAACAGGTTGTTTTCCTATGTCGGCAACCGGGGCCCGTTGTACCGCATGCCTCCGCGAAGGGGAAGCTACTGGTTTCCGACACATGCGGCCANGATGCTTTGCTGGGTGCTGTGGATATCACGGGATGCGTTTTGGACATGTGCGGTGGGCCCACGGACGCCGTCGCGACCCGTCTTCGATCCGCGTGCGAGATACTCACGAACGACGTGAGCTCGGGGTAAGAGCGTTGTTCTTGTTTGAGTTAGCTTGAACGTACCCAGCAGCAGGAAAACAGTCCTTGTACATAGATGGTCAGATAATAGTGCAAGGAAACACAGGGGGCAGCCAACAAAGAACCTCCGGGCAGCACTTTTTATGTGGAAATATACTGCAATGATTATGGTAAGGACTGTTCAGGCCCGACATGGCACGTGATCATCACGTTATGCCGCAGGTACCGAGCAACACAAAAGTGAATGCCACGTGTTTTTCATGGATACGAAATTTCGTCCCGCGATTTTGTGAGTTTGCCCCGGGCTATTTACCCCCCCTGACATTAATAACCGTTGCTCAGGGGCAAGACTTTCCATGACTTGATTTTGGCTTTGGCTGTTGCCATATGTACCAAGTGCCTTGCAAGGGTGACGTCTACGTCTGATAGACAAGATTCCGTACTGCATGGCCTCAACCGCACAAGGTCGTGTGCCCTTTGACAGG